CAGAGATGACAGAGATGGATAGAGACCAACAGCAGAGATGACAGGAATTGATAGAGACCAACAGCAAAGATGACAGGGATGGTGAGACATCAACAGCAGAGATGACAGGGTTGGTGAGACACTAACAGGAGAGATGACAGGGATGGTGAGACATCAACAGCAGAGATGACAGGAATGGATAGAGATCAACAGCAGAGATGACAGGGATGGTGAGACACTAACAGCAGAGATGACAGGAATGGATAGACCAACAGCAGAGATGACAGGAATGGATAGACCAACAGCAGAGATGACAGGGATAGATATAGAGACCAACAGCAGAGATGACAGAGATGGATAGAGGCCAACAGCAGAGATGACAGGAATGGATAGAGACCAACAGCAGAGATGACAGGGATGGTGAGACACTAACAGCAGAGATGACAGAGATGGATAGACCAACAGCAGAGATGACAGGAATGGTGAGACACAAACAGCAGAGATGACAGGGATGGTGAAACACCAACAGCAGAGATGACAGGGTTGGTGAGACACAAACAGCAGAGATGACAGGAATGGTGAGACACCAACAGCAGAGATGACAGGGATTGTGAAACACCAACAGCAGAGATGACAGGAATGGATAGACCAACAGCAGAGATGACAGGGATAGATATAGAGACCAACAGCAGAAATGACAGGGTTGGTGAAACACCAACAGCAGAGATGACAGGGATGGTGAAACACCAACAGCAGAGATGACAGGGTTGGTGAGACACTAACAGCAGAGATTACAGTCTGAATAAATGCTAATGGCCTCCTTGCATAAGAGAGAAAGTTGAGTTGTTTCCCTGTAACTCCCTAAATACTTACACAGCTGATGAACCAAGGCTCTGTTAGTAAGCTCACCACTGTTAATGATCAAATATCAAATTTAATGGCATTACCGATGTCTTATACTTAAAGCATTAATCATGCTTTCCCAACGCCGACCATCAGGGATAAATAATTGATGAAAGGAAGAGGCAATTTAGATGTATTTGTTCCCCCGTAATGTCCGCAGGCTGCTCCCTAAATAATCCATGATCACAGGGCACACCATGTCCATTGGGTGCTGACAGGTAGGAGGTGGGTTGATGAGTGCAGGTCAGCGAGACACTGACGACAGGTAGACAGGTGCATTCTGGCCAATGTATGTCTTTGATATTGATACTTGTAAGGAGTTTAGGCGGAATGGTGCATGCAAGAAAATCTCAGTATCAGAACATTAACTTGTCACTGTCTACAGGTACACTGAGCCAGGTATATAGGTGCTTATAGGTTATTCTACCTTGTGGGGTGCTGGTATGTAGGTGCTTATAGGTTATTCTACCTTGTGGTGTGCTGGTTTACAGGTGACCACTTGTAAATCAACCTGTGATGTGTTTGTATAAAGGTGTACACAGGTAAATCTACCTGATGATGCATTGGTATACAGGTGCACACAGGTAAATCTACCTGATGATGGTATACAGGTGCATACAGGTAAATCTACCTTGTGAGGTGTTGGTATACAGGTGCATACAGGTAAATCTACCTGTGATGTGTTTACAGGTAAATCTACCTGTGATGTGTAGGTATACAGGTGCACACAGGTAAATCTACCTGGTGATGTGTTGGTATACAGGTGCACACAGGTAAATCTACCTGATGATGCATTGGTATACAGGTGCACACAGGTAAATCTACCTGATGATGGTATACAGGTGCATACAGGTAAATCTGCCTAGTGATGTGTTGGTATACAGGTGCACACAGGTAAATCTACCTAGTGATGTGTTGGTATACAGGTGCATACAGGTAAATCTACCTAGAGATGTGTTGGTATACAGGTGCGCACAGGTAAATCTACCTGTGATGTGTTGGTATACAGATGCACACAGGTAAATCTCCCTGATGATGCATTGGTATACAGGTGCACACAGGTAAATCTACCTAGTGATGTGTTGGTATCCAGGTGCACACAGGTAAATCTACCTAGTGATGTGTTGGTATACAGGTGCACACAGGTAAATCTACCTAGTGATGTGTTGGTATACAGGTGCACACAAATAAATCTACCTAGTGATGTGATGATATACAGGTGCACACAGATAAATCTACCTAGTGATGTGATGGTATACAGGTGCACACAGATAAATTTACCTAGTGATGTGTTGGTATACAGGTGTACACAGGTAAATCTACCTGTGATGTCTTGGTATACAGGTGCACACAGGTAAATCTCCCTGATGATGAGTAGGTACACAGGTGCATAGAGGTAAATCTACCTGTGATGTGTTCGTATACAGGTAAATCTACCTGGGATGGGGTGGCATGCCCCCTTTCCTCCATGAGTGCTGAATCACAACGATGGTACACATCTTCCATGGCTCAGGGCTATCGGAATATATTTCTTGATAGTGCAATGGGCTATAGGTGATATTTCTTGGTGTCATAAACTGCACCAAGAGCATTATAAACATGCATTTTGATATTAACCATGTGTTGATCTTCACCATGCCATCAACACTAAAATACAAGACATTTCGAACCCTGAATATTAATTAGTGAATACTCTTTGTGGTTAATTAAAGGCGCTATGCTAGTTAATGCACGTCACTATAACACCTCCCTATTACGTTACATGAAAACTATAGGAAATACAAGAGACTGATGCAATTTCCATCCAAAAGGTCTTCCGAGAACACATGATGATTGATGTCCACACGGAATTCAAAAATGCAAATACTCTGTCATAATCAGCACATGAGAAAGACTGACACCATGGCAAATGTCTAATCATTAATAAACACTGCTTTATTCGCTACTGGGAGTGTTCAATCATGGGCCACAGTTCTTACCAAACATTAACATCTGAAAGTCAAAATCGATACATGCACAAGGTGGAAATCGGCAATAAATCATCCCCAAGGGCGGTAATTAGTGAGAATAAATAATCATCAACAACAAAAATTGAATCAATGGTTATCATATCGCAAAGACAAGCCATCAAGGCAAACAGTCCATGTTTCATTATGGCAACAATTACACCAAGGACATTCACCAGTCTCCATAATCACCAAGGTCATGGTCACTTGCAAGTTGGAAATACAAAGACTGCAAAAAGTATGCCCTTCTGAGCAGGCAAACTGAATCTGGTTTTACCGATTTGAACTTGAAGACAATGCACCTTAGGCCAGGTTTTGGGCCGGACGAGTGAACTTTGTAACCACTAGATCTAGACAAGCAACTACGGCCTTCTTGCAACACTGAATGGATGTCGGTGTATAGCGAGTTCATGATGGAATATCATCTTGCTACACTGAGTGAGAGTGGCGAGGGTGTTGGAGGGTGTTGGAGGGTGTCGGTTGGTGCCAGTGGGTGGCGGTGGGTCGCGATGGGTGGCGGTGGGTGGCGCTGGGCGATGAAGGCGTATGCATGTCTGAAGATGCAATACCCAGTGACCTAAACGTTCCAAGTACCATTAGGGCATAACACAAGGTTCAAACAGACGTGGAACACTAAAATTCAAGGCCTTTTCAAGGCTGCCAACTGTCATTTTCAAGGCTTTTTTAGTTAGGGTATTTGCCTAAGTCTGTCATGAATTCTTCGTGGTCTTTGGCACACAAATCCAGCAATATGATAAATCTCACTTAAGACTGTTTGAAACATATTTTTGTGTGCTTGAATACGTTGATTAACAAGTACATGTCATTTTGTACAAAATCAAGATTTTCTGTGATTTGAAAGGCTTCTCAAATTTGGCACTAAATATTAAAGCTTTTCAAGAGGGACCTTAAACTTCAAGGCTGTAAAAGTGTTGTCCTAACAACTACAACTTAGTACAAGTGTGTGAGAGACTGTTGTATTAGGTCGCACATCAAATATTCCAGCAATTGCACACATTCTGTGAACCATTTGATAGGGGTGAAACGATACATCGGTGCACTGGCGAATCATGAGTTTTCATGTGATGATATGATTTATGATACATTTTTTTCTTAATCAATACAATACGTATACTTACAAAATATTTTACTTACTATTCGTGTCAATACCCCCACACCTACCTAAGTCAGTCGTCGTCATTTAAATATTGCAAAATGTGTTGTGATCACCTTTTCAAGTTCACAACTAAAAATAGCCGCTATGAATATGTGTCTACAGCTAGCTTTCCTTTTGAATATGATAAGAACTATTTATAGTCAAGATGTTTCTACCCAATTTGACGTAAATATGTGCACATTTATATCGTGACCTATGTACCGAGATAGGTATCATATCATGACCTATGTACCGAGATAGGTATCATATCGTGACTTGAGGAATCATTTCATCCCTACAATATGTGTACAGTTATATCGTGACCTATGTACCGAGATAGGTATCATATCGTGACCTTGAGGAATCGTTTCATCCCTAGAATATGAGTGTGAACCAGTCAAACCAGTGATTGAAAGCATGAGCAGCGAAAAACAAGATTAATGATGATACACAATCAGCTAAGTCCCCACTTTAGTCAGCTCTCCCGACAACCATTTGGCACTAGGAACCCATTCTGATCAGGCAGGTACAACCTTGGACATGATCTCCCTATCAACAGCTGTCAGTTGGTAGGCATTTGGGGTGAAACGATACGTCGGTGCGTCGGTGCACCAGTGCATCATGAGTTTTCATGTGACGATACGATACACAATACGTTTTTCTGTAGCGTTACAAGATCATACACTTGTTGAAATAAATTACGTACTACTTGTTTATTGACCCTTGGTACTTTTGTCACTCAGATATAGTGATGTGATGTAATTAGCCTTTCAAGTTCACTACTAATAATAGCTGCTTCAGCTAGTCTGTTTTTTAAAACCTGCTTTGATGCAATTTGACGTAAATATGCGTATCACGATATGTGTCGTATCATCACCTGTGCATCGTGATACGTATCTCATCATGACCTTGCTGTATCGTTTCACCCCTCGTAGGGATATAAAAACAGATCTTACCTCTTGATTGGCTGACGCTAATTCCTCTTCTAACTGGGCAACTCTTTCCAATGCAACCCGTAGCCGTTCTCGAACCTGAAGATCAAAATCACAAAATGTAATACCACAGAAAATATTAACATGAATATATTGATAGCAATGGTATCATTAAATCAGAAACACGCAATGGATATGTGGGTTAGAAGAGGTATCAAGTGATCCATGCAATATAGCGTATTCGACGTAATAATCACCCCGCTCTAATAAGCGCCCACAGCGATATTTGCAAAAGTATTGGCTAGTGAACAATCCCAATTAGCACCCCTTCTGATTGATCAATGTACACAAGACTTATTTATTCGTGTATAATACGCACTCGTATGTTATATGCACCCTTAATTATGGGCAATTAAATTCTGGAAAAATATATCTGTCGTATATAAACATTTTAGGCTGTCAGCATAAATCTCGAAATTTACGATCTTTCAAGTGTTTTTTCCACCTAAATAATATTCTAATAAGAGCCTCCTATTTCTAATTTTGAGAGTGCCCTGGGCACTTATTATGTTGAATACGATAAAGATGGTACAAAAAATTCAATATATATTGGTGTTATACTCCTTAATATTTGGTTTTCGGATATGCCAATCCAAAAAATCAGGGTAACCTTAACCTCGAATAAAGAGAGTAAATTCAAGTTTAAAGTGTTTTCATTTCTATTGTTCATCACAGTTATAAAAAAAATGATCACAAATGTTTTCCTGCCTGACCCAGACAAGTTTGTTTGTTTGTTTGTTGTTTAATGCCGAATATTCCAATTGGCGGTCTGTTAATTATGAATTTGCATGAATGGTCAATTTAGGATATTTTTATTTCATTATGAAGTAGATTTATCATTTTGTTTCTTGACAGACAGATCTTAGTTAAAGGCAAAGTAGTTATCAGATGGGATATTGCAAAACTTTTGACTTGAAAACCAACACAGAATTAAATCAAGAGTTGACACATGAGTAAAATGTATCGTATTGACAAAAAATAAATTTACAAAAATAAATTCTTCTACTTGAACAGCACTAAAGTTAATCTTGATCTACAGAGTTGTAGATTTAACTCATTCTAGGAACATAATTGTGAATTAGTTTAGTTTTATGCCACTTTTAACAATATTATGGTCAGAGACTTCACAAAGGGCTTCACACAATGTACCCATGTGGGGAATTAAACCCCTGGCCTTCAGCATGATGAACGAATGCTTTAACCACAAAGCGACACCATCCCCCTCCAGAATTAAAGATTCAAGTTTGTTTAAATTAAAGAATACCCTTTTTTAAAGAAGGTTTGTGTCAATATGACCTGTTTGCCCCGACACAAAGCCAATCTAAACGCAGTCCGAGTCTGTGTTGTTTCAGCACAGCAGCAATGACTGATGCCAAGATTAACAAGTTGTGTGCAATGTAAGAACCCCGATGACCAAATGCGATCATCAATCTTGCCCAGTGCTGCATATCAGCTGTCTTAAAGAATTCCATCCAAATGCCGAGACTACATCTACTTTCAAGGTGTACACAATAGAACAGCTTAATGACACAATCTGCTTACATGGCGCCGCGTCAGTTCAAAGGCTTTTGAAGATTGGGATCTTACACTTCCATCCTCAGTTTCACGGCAATCAAGAACCACCAACAGTATCTAATGTAACGTCGACTTAATATCTTCTATACTGCTCATCACTTGAAGGGTTGGCTACAAGGCTCATCACAAACTTTAGCTGTCAAATTTAAGGCCTGCTGAAGACTTAATATTTTGAGACAATCACATTTTCAAAGCCAAGAGTTTGAGCCTATCACACTTTCAAACATTACACAAACATTGCTACTTCATTTCATTGTCAGGATGGCTCCGTTTTTACATCCAAATACACTGTTGAAGGAGTTCCCACTCCAGTGTTTCACTGATAACTGTCGATCAAGTTACGGACTAATCTATTGCTACATATTTCATCACACATTACTAGAGACTAGGGCTGGGACTAGGGCTGCAACGAATACACTATGAGGCGAATACGATTCGTATCACGAATATAGGGTAACGAATACGATCAGCAGTTTAAGTATTATTTATTATATTCAGTGAAACAATAACATCATAATTTATTTGACATGGTTTGTTAATTATTAATAAATTATACATTTATATACTGCACTTATCCGGGTACTAGTATCTGCTCAAATGCGACAATGACCAGTGAAAACAATACTATCAAATTAAATATTATTACAGTGTTGTCATTGAAAGAAATCTATGCATATAATATGTTGTTATGGATAAATTTTAGGTACAGGGTATGTAAATATACATGATAGCATATTCATAAATATTTGATTCTAGTTGCCATGAATAACGAATTCAATTCATGAATAGTTACGGTTCGATTCACCGAATACGCTAGTGAATCGTAACAGCCCTAGTTGGGATGAGTCCAAATTTACTACCTGGGTACCCGACACTCTATTACCCAGCCTTACTTGGATACCAGCAAAAGGTCTCAAGAGTTGGCTACAAAAATCCGAATGGATGACTATTTAGATACACGTATTAAACAATCTGATCATGTATACTCTGCAGTTGATAGACGCTTTATCCTTACTCGAACATATAAAAGTCAGAATGAATGCCTGCATAGTGAGAAAGAAATGTGAACATAAGCTAAACTTGTAGTGTAACCACTGATTTTTATTGTTAATGTCATTAAGCAGTATGTCATGTGACTAACCACGGGGCCGGGTAGTCATGTGGGTACCCGGGTCCTAGTCAAGACCCACCCAACCCGAGTACCCGAGTTACCCATCCCAGCCCTACTAGAGACATAAATAATTGTACAATGAACTATATTTAACACCAGAGAAAGCCATGTTCAATTTTAATGTATTTTTAAGGCATTTCATAAACCTTAAGACCATTTCAAGGCAGATTCAAAGCCAAGGTCCTTCCAGAACCAGACTACTAAATCCAAGGCCTTCTCAAGACCTTTAGAACTTTGTGACAAGAATGGCAATAGGAATGCTACAAAAGATTAAACTTTAATTCCAGTCCGAAAGTTTAGCCAATATTTTCATTTTTCAAGTCTAGTAGTAACTTCAGTATTTTGTAAGAAAACTTGTCCCCATTGATTAAAAACTGTATATATAATATGGTTATGCTCAAATATGTTTCATAAATTGTTTCTAAATATATTATTTTCAAATATGTTTCACAACTTGTTTTTAAATAAAAAATTGCATTAATAACTAAATTGTAAATATATTAACTTGGTCTCGTCGCTATATGGCTGAAATAATGCCGATGCGACGTTAAATTTTAACTCACTCACTCACCCCATTGAACACAGTTATGCACTAAGCTGAAAAGCAGGGAGCAAGGGACACAACTCTGTAAAAATGAATTTACGAAATCCAATTTCGAACTCATTTGAGGCCATGACAAGTAAAATCAGTGAGTAAAATTTGATTTCTGTCTTAAATCTTTTTTGGAGAAAATTCGTCCCCTTTGAGAAGCGGATGGACAGATGGAAGGATGGAAGGACGAACTTCGTTCCAATATCCCTGCCCCACTTCGTGGTGGGGAATAGTAATATTTTTATTCAAGTAAGTTAAGCTCATAACAGCTGATATGTAATTATTTAAGAGTAAACTCTCCTACAAATTACACAGTAGGAAAAGCTGGGAATCAAGCATGTCCTATTTCAGCCCATCAAAAATCAGGATAGGTTGGATGTTTACTTTTATTTAAATGACTGGACTGCCTACAGTAAAATGCAACAAATTAACACTCGTGGCATACAATACAGACAATACTGGCATGGCGATGAAAACTATGGTGCAAATTGTGGAAACAAGGATCCTGGCACAGATAAGGGATGTAACTCTGCACATTGTTATGCCAGGCCAAACCATGTTGCAATGCCCTAAGATAAACTTTGCAAACTCAAAATGTACAAATAAATATGACCCTGAAGTTACAGAAATTGTTCGGACATGTATCCTCTGAAACGTTCAGCAGTACGAATCAACAAACTAATGACCTAAACCCGTAAGGCAAGTCTGCAAAGAACATGGGTCCGCAAACATCTGTGGAATCTTGTCTGTCACCCCTTCGCGCAATGGAAAGCAAAGAACTTGCTTCAATCAATACCTACAGCGAGGTTTATAAATCAGGAGGTCCAGCAACATTACCACAAGATTATCCTAATTGCAGTGGGATAAAGAAATTTCTATTTTTGACTTGCAATTCTCAATAGAAGAATCAGGGGACATTATTGAGCACACTCCAGTGCAGGAGATACATACATGACAGTCTGATATTAAAATCTTTCAATCCAAGGAATTCAATTTACTCCGATTGTCTGATACCCCCGACAGCTGGGAAAATGCTTCCTCTGGCTACTTTCCTGGAAATTTGTTTTCTCAACAAGTTTGTGTCGTAGGTATATCATCAACTTTATTGACTTCGCTCGGATCCTGTTTGGGTGGGTGGATGGGTGGGAGAGTGAGTGAGTGGGAGAGTGAGTGAGTTGGTGGGTGGATGGGTGGGAGAGTGAGTGAGTGAGTGAGTGAGTGAGTGAGTGAGTGAGTGAGTGAGTTGTTCAGTGAGTTAAATCTTGTGAGTTGTTGAGTCAGTGAGTGCTCAGCATCGCAAAATCAAACCCAGATCATCAGCAGGATGAATAAACGCATCAACCTTAGGCTACTGAACTGTTCTGTTTTGAATGATTTGTTCAGTGAGTTAGTTCTTGGGAGTTGTTGAGTCAGTGCGTGCTCAGCATCGCAGTTAGCAAAACCGCAGCTTTGAACAGCATTAGTTATAGTTAGAGAATGAGTTTATGTTTCTTGTAAGAACACTTCAGACATAACTCTGCACAGCTCTGGATTTGAAGGTCATGTCATTATTTGTAACTCAATGACCCAGGCCCTAGGGACATGAATAATACTTTCACAAATTGTACAAATGGGGAAAATCCAATGCAGATATCAGCAGGATGACAACCATTAGGCTACTGAACTGTTCTGTTTTGAACCATTGTTTGCACTTAGTTGACT